TTTTCTTCTAATCAACAATCTATTGCAACAAAATTAAACTATTGTGACCTTTGTGGTATCTCATTCGAACGTAAATATAAACTATTCCAGCATCAACTTTTGAAACATAAATGGAATGAAGCACAACACGTGTGCAGCTGTTGTGACAGTAGGTTCCTGTCTGCTTCTAGTTTACTAACGCATTTGGACAATCAGTGTAAAAATAAGCATAAACGCTATTTGTGTTTTAAATGCCCTCGAAGATTTATGTGGAAGGATAACCTTATAATGCATTTACGTATTATACATTTAGAGGTAAATCTAATAGATTTAAAATTGAAATTTTATTCTACATTAACAATGTTATCAAATATTTACTTTTTTATTTCAAATAAACACTTGTTGATTTTACAGACAGATGATTCACAAATTGAAGCTAAAATTAACTCAAGCAGCAATAAAAGAAATAAAGCTGTTGTATCGGATAAAAAATATTTGTGCGAACTATGTGGTTTTGCTGCAGCTAAACCATCCAATCTTGTCATACATATGAGGCGTCATACAGGCGAGAAACCATTTAAATGTGATTTTTGCGATAAGGCATTTCCAAATACATCTGATTTAAAGACACATCGTCAATCTCATACTGGTGAAAAACCATATATCTGTAATACTTGTAATAAAGCTTTTCCACGTGCATACAAATTGCGCATACACATGCGTACGCACTCAGGAGAACGTCCATACATCTGCTCTTATTGCAACAAAAGCTTTACGCATTCGAAAAATCTAACCTTGCATGTGCGTCGACATACCGGTGAACGTCCATTTGTTTGCGGCATTTGTGGTCAAGGATTTATACAGGGTGCACAATTGCGAAAGCATCGCCAATTAGTTGGTCATCATGAAGATATAGAACCCAAAAGAAAAACATTACTATTGGAATAGGTATAATTTAGAGGGCTTGATTACTATTATGAGATATTATATTTTGACTTACTTCTTTCCCCAATCTTACTACTGCAATAAATTAAGTTAAAATATATGGAAGCTAACTTAGCAGATTTTAGGCAAATATTCAAAAATTTTCCAATAACATTACACTGCAAAATTAAACATTTTTTAATATTTTTTGCCCGAAGTTAGTATTTTTTTTTATTCAAGTAGAAAAACGCTAGATGAAGCGAGAAATGTTTAGTAGTGATATATCATTGTATATACCATTCTTTTCAAAATTCAAACTCTCGATTGGGATAGAAAATCATTATGTGGGTTGACGATTACATAACTAAATATAAAATAAATACCCATTAGCGACCTAAACAGCAAAAAATATTTTTTATTAAAAATTAAACAAAAATTGGACCACATTTCGACACTAATCTTTTCATTAGATTTTTCAATCTAATGGGTACTTAATATCAAAGAAAAATACAAGAATTTGGACAAATACAAAGAGCAATCAAAACGAAAATAGATACAGCATCTTGCCAATTGGCCCAACATCCATTGTGGAGATTACAATTAATTTATCAACCAACCACCGGATCTAATTTATAGTTGCTAAAATCTCAAATATTTTATAAAAATGATACCAGCCTTCATACATAGATTTCCGAAAATCTTCTGACAACATAGACAAGAGCAAACAATCAAGTATCGAGGATTCAATTCAAAACTCTGTACGTCTACGTACAGGTACCAATCGCCTGCACAGACGAGCAAACGACAACAATGACGGACAACAAAAATAAAGTAAATAAATAAAACACTTATTTGATTAGTTGCAACAAATCGGCGTAAAGTGTAAAAAACAGACTGTCAGCAATAACTAAAGAGAATACTTGATTGATATATCCGAAAATGATATAACAACGATTTAGAAATTAATTAATTAATAAATATTGTAGCTTTGTCGTACTATTAGACTATTAGCATTTCTCGTTAATTTTTACATTTCTAAAGCCAGTCTGAACTCTGTTGCATTTAACATTCCTTTTCGCTTTGGTAAAGTTGTTTCTCTTTAACAATTTGAATCTGACTTTTTTTTTTGTTATGTAGAATTAGAAATCATAGGGATTGTTCTTTTAAAAATTGTAAGCGAGAAAAGTTTTTAGTGTGACTAAATATACTCTTTTATGAGATTAACTACAATATATTTAAAGACAAATTCGAAACTTAATATAAACTCTTTTCAGTCTTCATATAGTCTTTTTCTAGTTAAATCCATGCAATTCCCGTAAGTATCGTTATTTACGTTAACGAGATGTTATGTTTATATTTCAGGGTTTGAAGGTATAGATAAAATTTAACTAAGATATAGTTTTTTAATGAAATCCTAAGCAAACATAAAAATGTAAACTACTTTTATTTAGAATGTTTAAGTGGATAAATTTAAATAAATTTTTATATACCATCATTTTTCGTTTTATTTTGAGGGACGTGATACAAAAATTTTCATTTATATAAATAATTTATTATTATCGATACAATATTGTTTGATGCGATTTCTGAAAGTATCTAGCTTAACTTTATAACTTTAGATAAAATTAAAATACATTTTTATTCTATTTATTTAAGTGAAGAATTTCAGACGGATATTATATATGTCCTCCAATATGCTATGTTTTTTTGTGAATTCAAATTGGTTTCTATAAATATGTTAAATTACCCCGTTCCTATCTATCTCTTCCACTGCTATTTCTATAAATTACTTTAATGCTTTTTCCATATTTTGTTATTTTATTACTTCAACAACACGGCAATGATATTAAGAACTAATTTTATCTAACATTAATTACTAAACAATATTTTTGTTTCTGTTTTTCTTTCCAGAAGACTCTATTTTTTTAAATCGCTTGTCTGTCGCCAATTATATATGCTTTTATATCATTAGTATTAAAAGTTAAATGCTGTTATAAACATGACATTTTTCATAATATGAGAAGTTAAGTTTTTTGTTTAAAAACGTTAAATAAAAATTTTAGTTCAAGTTTGAATTATCTGTATGGGTTACAAAATGTTAACCGCAAATAGAGCATACATTAGGAAAACTAAAAATTATCCTACAGACTAATATATATTTTTTTTCGAATTTAAAATTAATACTTTTTAATTGTTTTTCTTATTAATGCAAGTCGTTGTTTATGTGCTTCAGTTACGGCAGCACGTTTATATGGCCGTAACTCATCAGTGCCAAAACCTGGTAACCACATTTTATATTTACGTTCCAGATGTAACTGCACATCACGTACTTCAAGTTTTGTTGCTTTTCGGTGCTTAGCGTATTGACTAGCGGATCTTACCGCATCTTCAATGAAGTCATCAGCTATTTGTAAAATTATTTCTTCGACATCTTCATCCAGTTGTACAGATGTATCAATTTCACGCACCAATTCCATTAGTCTAGGTTTTGTAAGAATCTTTAATTTATTAAGGAGAAAGAATTATTAAAAAGATTTATTTATTAAGTCGATTAAGTTAACAATCTTACCGGTTGATTATCATTACTAGTATTTTTGACACTTGATGTTGGAGCAGAAGCACTTACACTTGGATTGGAATTGTGTACATTCTGTATGTTTGCTCCAGCTGTATTGCTCACACTGACTGGATTAGAACTAAATGTACTGACGGGGCTTTCGAGTGGTGATGCCATGTTAGTATCTTGTGATTCTTCAATAGCGCCGTTACTATCAAAATTGTGAAAAATGTCCGACATGGTAGCTTCAATTTATGTTTAATAATATATGTTACAATATAATATGTGTGGCAAGAATTTAATCAAGCCAATTATAAAACAGAAATAGATTTCTTTCCAAATTTTAAAATTTAATTATGAAATTGAAGCAAATTAAATGAAAAGGCCGAAATGTTGTTATAAGTGTTGTCAAAGAACAGGATCAACTGGAACTGTAGTGTAGAATACCGTGTATGGACAATAATATTTTTGTTTTACAAAAGGTGTTGCAATTTTGAAAGATAAAGTATTATACAGTTAAAGAAAGAGTAATGTATATTTCACGAACAAACATATTTTAAATCTTAAAACTTACTTTGTTACCGACAACTTTCGTTCAACTTCTTAATAACTCAACATAGTTCACTAGTTGTTGCAGACTGACTAAAAATGCAATGACGTCTTTGACATTTCTACACTTTTTACAATGTTACCATGCTAAATAAATAATGAAATTAAAAAATATTTGAATTTCCAAAATTATTATGACATTACCACAGACAAATAATATACAGATTGCGAATACAGAAAAAAAAAATGGTTCCCATGATTTCGTAGCAGCCAGCTAAAAGCAAATTTGAGTTATATATACAGTCAGCGACAAAACTCTACATACACCCCCCATTTCTGCTAGTTCGTAAATCCAAAGACATAATAGAAAAAAAGTAATGATACAGTTTTGTTTAGAACTGTTTTTTAATAATAATAAACAAAAGAAAATTCATTCATCAATATAAATTAACGAAATTATTCGAAAAAAACCTAAAAAAATCATTGACAAAAGTCTACATACACTTCATTGATTGTTACATTTAGTTGACAGTAATTTAAATGTTAAACGGGAAAGTACCGTTTTTCATATTTAATGCTTGTGGCATGAATCATACACTTATATAATGTACTTAGTTGTGCTTTGTGAGTGGTATTTAATTGACACGATGGGTCCACGAAAAGAAAATTCAAGTGATATGCGAAATCTGGTTATTAAGCATAGAAATGAAAAAAAACCTTATGGTAAAAGTATCAAAATTAGTAAATTTGACTCGATCTACAGTTCCGACGATAATAAAAAATTATAAAAATACTGGTTCTATTGAAAATAAGCCTCGCAGTGGTCGCCCAAGGATACTCATACGTAGGGATGTCAGCTTGGTTTTAAAAGAAGTTAACAAAAATCCGAAAGTAAGTGCCTTAAAATTAGTCGAACACATTGCTAGTGCAACTAGGAAGCATGCCAATCTACGTCAAAGCTATTTTTCCTACTTCAGTTGCAGCTACGTCTCCCCAAAGCATAGCACTGCCACCACCATGCTTTACAGTTGGCATTATATGCTTCGGATTCAGTGCTGTTTTTGCTTTCCTCCAAACTTTAGCTCTCCCATCGCATTCAAATATATTGAATTTGGATTCATCTGTAAATAAAACCTGCTTCCAGAAATCAAAGTCCTTTTCTTTATACTGTTTGGCAAACTCTAAGCGCAGCTTTCGGTTTTTTTCAGAAATTAAAGGTTCTTTGCGTGGTATTCTATCATGAAAACCGTGGCTGTTTAACGTTCTTTGTACTATACGTGGATTGACATGCTTTCCAGTTACATTAGCAATGTGTTCGACTAATTTTAAGGCACTTACTTTCGGATTTTTGTTAACTTCTTTTAAAACCAAGCTGACATCCCTACGTGTGAGTTTCCTTGGGCGGCCACTGCGAGGCTTATTTTCAGTAGAACCAGTATTTTTATAATTTCTTATTATCGTCTGAACTGTTGATCGAGTCAAATTTACTAATTTTGATACTTTTACCATAAGGTGTTTTTTCATTTCTATGCTTAATAACCAGATTTCGCATATCACTTGAATTTTCTTTTCGTGGATCCATCGTGTCAATTAAATACCACTCACAACAAGCATTAAATATGAAAAACGGTACTTTCCCGTTTAACATTTAAATTACTGTCAACTAAATGTAACAATCAATGAAGTGTATGTAGACTTTTGTCAATGATTTTTTTAGGTTTTTTTCGAATAACTTCGTTAATTTATATTGATGAATGAATTTTCTTTTGTTTATTATTATTAAAAAACAGTTCTAAACAAAACTGTTTCATTACTTTTTTCTATTATGTCTTTGGATTTACGAGCTAGCAAAAATGGGGGGTGTATGTAGAGTTTTGTCGCTCACTGTATATATTGCGTATAATACAATGATCTTAAGTGTTCGAAACATGCAAAGAGATTTTGAATGTGCGTATGAAGTATATGTGATATAGTATAGAAATTGTTGCTATATTTTCAATTCATATTACCAACACCAAGTTGCTGGCTATACTGGCCGAAATGTATGTATATGTAAACAACAAACCCATTTTCTCAATCTAGGCCAGTAGTTGCATACTGGCCTTACACTTCGGCCAGTAAAGAAAAAAGTGTTACCAACGCAAGAAGCGAACTATTGTGAACCTTCATTGGAAATTCCAATAAATATTGCAATCATATGTCAAAAATCATATAAAAACAAGTATTCAAACAAAATTAAAAATTTTTATAGATTGGATATTTGGTATTATTTCAAAAATTTTTATCATTCCTTTAAATTCTGTATTCATTTTATCGATTTTATACAAAATGTAATTTGCTTACATCATGTGCACGTATGCAAGATTTGCTATTTGTCAAAACATAACACTTACAGACTGCAACAGTGATGCCAATGTCTTGTTTAGCGAGTATAGAAAAACATGCGTTTTTTGCGAGTGTTGCTATTTTTTGCCACAAATCGGAGAGGCCTAATATACCTATTGTTACATTTAAATGTTATAGTTATCATGTCTACTTTTACATTACATGGTTCCGAATATTGGGCTTTAAAAATGGTGGTTTGGTCTTTTCGTTTAAAAAGCTACTGGCAGTACTGATTGTTAAATAAGCAAAACTATTGTGAATAATAATTTTTTATATTGAGAGTTGAATTTTGTTTTGTTTATGTTGCGCTTTAGTTTAAAATGCAAATTCAAAAATATACTGAACAATCTTTAATTTCAAAAAACTTCGATTCAAGTCAAGACAACGAAGACGGTTTTGATGAGTTGTGGTGCAGAACATGCTGCGAGAAAATTAGTTTGAGATTCCTGCATTTGTTGACAAATGAAGCTAATGTGCCTTCTTTGTCGAATATGTTGTCAGAAATAGCCAAAATTGATGTAAATTCAATTTATTTAATGTTCTTTTTTGCAAACTAATACAATAGCTGCATTTAACTCAATAGGTGAAAACTAAACACGGTGATGGGTTCCCCGAGCATATTTGTGACAATTGCGTATACAGACTGAAAATAGCTTACAACTTTGTTTTGCAAGCCCAGCAATCTAATGAATACTTTGAGCAGATGACTTGTATGCTACTGAAGCAAAACTTGAACAATTCACAACAAACACCTATAACTATGACAGAAAATCTTACTTGCAAATCTGAGTTTTATGATGAATTTGCGAATATAGAGAAAAGCAATGTTGACACGAACTCGGAGAGCTATGAAAATATCTTTGAAGATGTTACAGTAAAAGATGAAACTTTACTTGATGAGGAAAATAATGATGAAGGTAGTGTTATAATTTGTTTTGTTAAAAAATGAATTGAAAATTACTTATGTATCAAACATGAATCCATAGCATTAGTGAAATCTATGGATATTCCGTCTCCAAATATAGAAATGAATAATGACGACTGTAGAAGGAAGTAAGTTAACTTTATATACGTTTTATATCGCATAATCCACAAAGTAATTTTTTTAAGAAATGATCGAAAGATTGTTTACATGCAAACAAGGAAACTAAATAACAAACGGTATGTATGGAACCCAGCAGCGGAACAAGCGTTGTTTGAGCTGTGGGAATCGAATTTAAAACACCTTACTCAAACGCGTAGGAAAGGACACATATATAATGAAATATCTGAACAACTAAGTAGCATTGGATTTTATCATAGTGCCCGCGAAGTACAAGTGAAAATAAATAATATGACTCAAAAATACAGGTATATAGAATGAATGCATATCAAAGTTTTTTAATATTTAATAGTTTAAATTTTTATTAAAGAAAAGAAAATCGCAAAATAAAATCTTCAGCTGAATCACAGTCAATGTGGATACATTATGAAAGAGTGAAGAGAATTATTGGAGATTTCAAATGCAAGAATATTGAACAACTCCAAACAGAAAACGTTGACGGTAAATAAGTATTCGATAATTATTCAAGAATTTACACTAAGTTTTATATAGTTATGTAAATTTTCCTATATTTATATAGTTGATATTATGTTTGTATTATCTTGTTATACACTATATAAAAGTATTAAGTATTAAAAATATATTTTGTAATATTTCGGATGGGGAATTTTATGAAGTATGTTTGGATGATTCAATATCTATTGATGTAAACATAAGGACACAATCTTCATTGTCAAGAATAACAGATAGATCCGGCCTAATGCCACCATCGCCATCATATTTAGAAAGTACATCACCAATATCGTTGGAAAGTTCGATGGTAGAATCAACGCCTACGTCGCCAAAACCGAAAAGAAGAAAATCAAATTCTTTTCAACAAAGGATATTAACCAATTCGAAGAAATCAAAAGGTAAAATATTTTAGAATTTAGAAGCATTGTAGCACACGTACAAAGAACGGTTTAATTTTGACTGCTTTCTAGAAACACCAATATCTTTGACAGAAAATCTTACTTGGGAACCTGATGATAATAGCGATTCAGATGCGCAATATGAAATGAAAAATATAAAAGCACAAAGTATAAATATTGGTACAATTTTACAAAGTTCTAAAAATTCTTTTAAAAATAATGTTGAACAAAAAGATGAAATGACTTCTGGTGTAGAAAATGAAAAAATTAAAATTAAAGGTAATTTTATAATTTGTATAAGTTAAAAAGTAAAGAAAAAAAGAATTTGTATACGTAAAGATCTCTGCTTAAATGAATCCATAACATCGGAAAAATTGGTGGATACGCCATTATCAAATATAAAAATAAATCACAATAGAAAATATAAAAGCAAGTAAGTTAAAATTTTTTTTTTACTATAAGTTTTTACGTTTCTGTTGCATAAGCCAAAAAAATTTCATTTTTAGAACTTATCAGAGTATTGCTTTATTGCTTACACGAAAGCAAAAAGAAAAGCTATATAGTATAAATCAAAAACGAGATGTATGGAGCCCCACAGAAGAACGAGCTTTACTAGAGATATGGGAACTTAATTCGTGTCGCCTAAGTCGTACACGTAAAAATGGGCACGTCCATAAAGAAATATCTGCAGAGCTTAGTAAACTCGGATTTGTGCACAATCCCCGCGAAGTACAAGTGAAAATGAATAACATGATTCAAAAATATAGGTATTTGTTAAAAATAATAAAAAAAAAATAATCCAAGAATAATTAATTCTTATTTTATTAAAGAAAACAAAATCGCGAATTACAGTTTTCAGGCGCATCTGAGACTGTGTGGACATATTACGAAAGCTTAAAGAGAATTATTGGAGATTTAGAATGTGAGAATAAGAAACAATTCCAAGTAAAGAGCTTTAATGGTAATAAATATTCGAACAGCATATTAATTTTTTAGACTATGTGTTCTTTATTTATGTTCTGGTATATTGATAATCAGTATATGTTTTTGTTATTTTATTATATATAAAGTTGCTCGCTTACAAGATCCAATTATAGTAAAATCTATGGAATCACCAATTCCAGATACAGTAATAAATAACATCACAAGTTGCAAAAGCAAGTAAGATTACATTTGTATACATTAAAACTTTCTCGTTACATGTTTCAGAAATATCTCTTTTCTAGGACTCATCAAAAGATTGTTTCACTGCGCAACCGAAAACGAAAGAAGATTTATCAAAAAAATAACAAACGGTATGCATGGAGCCGAGAAGCGGAACAAGCTTTATTTAAGCTATGGAAGTCGAATTTAAAACATATTCTTGGTACACATAGAAAAGAGCATATATATAAAAAAATATCTGTACAGCTTGCAAAAATTGGATTTCACTACAGTGCCCGTGAAATTCAAGTGAAAATAAATAACATCACTCAAATATATAGGTATTTAGGAGTTTTGAATTTA